CAGTTTTTACAGTAGGGGAGATAGGGCCCCTCGTTAAGGGCAGCAACGAGTGGCCATTACCGTTCGCCTACTACCTTCTAGTTCGACTACATTGTGCATTTCTCGATTTCAGCATACTTATAACCTAGTCGGCTAAGAGCTTAGGAATATCCTTCCTTGTTATACCCATGGGTATTGCTTCGTGCTATTTATCAAGAGCAGCTCATGTATCTAGAAATGCATACATGGTTATCTGTTTATTTTCCTTTGCCTTTTCAATTGCTTGGGTAAGGAAGATTTCCCTGCTTGATACCTAGAATTTTTAGGCCCAATCCCAAGCTCAACCAAGTATTGGCCGGCACTTTCTGGTGAACAGACGCTTCTAACTTCAGTGAGCATATAACCCAATAAGTTGGAGTCACTCCACCCAGCTCTCTTTCGTCCTGTCGTGACTCAACGCTCCACTAGGGGCTTGATTTTAGTTAGGAAACTGTCATGGAAGTCTTCCCAAGGGCTGAACAGGAGGATGGATCGAAGCTGGACAGAGGAGTCGGCGAAGCGCTCTTCTGCAGGGAACCCTTCAACATGTTTAAATGTAAGTTTCTAGAACACACGACAAAGGTGGATGCCATTAAGGAAGTAGGGCTTCTAAATGGCATGATGTCGACGAGATAATTGGAAAATCCGTATTTGTGTTCCGACTTGTTTCATATCTAGAACATATATTACTTAATTCGAAGGAATTAACTCCACAAAAATTTTAGCCGTTAACTGCGAAAATTGGCTCTAAGAGGACGATAACGTTCGTGAAAAAGGAGAGCAGGTTTGAAGGCAAGCGGAGTAGAGGAGTAGCTTTTAAAATTTTCAAACACCGGATTAAATCTACTTCGACCGGAGTAAAGTCCAGACGATGCCCGCGATAGAAGGGCCATATATCTATAGTAAAATTACGTTTTGAGTTTTTCTCTCTGATGTCAGGATTTGTTTTAAAAGGACTTTGGAATTTCAGGGATATGTTTAGTTTTACCATTGACCTAAATGTTTCAAAAAATTTTTTTAATCAAATAATCATAACCTTGAAATTTCAAAGTCCTTTTAAAAATCATTCTGATGGTACACTCTTGAATAGATGGGCCTTATGTAAGATTAGCGCTAGGCGAAAACCAGTCAGAGAGAAAAACTAAAAACGCACTTTTACTATATTTGGGCCACAGTTTAGCGATTATATTAATTTTTGTGTGTAAAATTTACTGTCGCAAGGTGTGGTAGGGTTAAGGCAGTATTGCTAAGTTTCGTACATTTTGTGAAGATACCTATTTTTCCGAATTTCACATTTTAAATAAATGGCCAAAATATATAATAGAAAAAAGGTAGGCAGAACCCCAGATGTAAAAATGTGGTTTGTTAATATGTGGCTATGCAATTTAATTACATACTTCATTACGCTACCTTAATTTAACTGGTTTTTGAAACATACGCGGGGTAACAACATACATACATTTTACGTATATTACTTATCAAGTTTATTAACTTAATCACCACACTGTGGCGCAGTTTGTGACTACAACAACAAAAACAAGACTTCAATTCGCAAACGTTTACATTATCTACACTTTAAATTTTTTACCCCAACATTTGCGCTAATGAGTCAAAACACACTGATGAGCACGCAAAAAATATGCAAGTAAAATTAAGGAAAAGCAACTGACAACGCGACACGTGAAAGTAAAAGTAAGCGAGCAGAAAACCCCAACCAAAAGAACGAAATGAGACGTTGAAAGACATGAAAAAATACAAGTCATGTGCTTAAGACAACGCGTTTATCTTCATTAAATGCGGTAATTAATTTTACGAAATCGAAAAGAACAAGCAGCAAGTGTCAGGCACTGACAGCACCAGAGGTTGCAGCAGCCGCAGCCACCGCTATCGCTAACGGACGGCGAAGCGGTTGAGCGCAACGTGCAACGCCACGCCACGCCACGCCACGCCTTGACTAATTTATGAAGTTATTGTGTGAGGCAGAAAGTTATGTTTTGCCAAAAATTAACAACAACATAGCAAAAAAAACAATAGACTTGCAAAATTGAGACATCAACTAAGCGACAATAAAACCAATTTGAATTAAAACTCGCTCGTGTTAATTTCTTGTACACACTCGTTATGACATGGCATTTACATAGATGTTTACGGCGGCGGGGCGCGTCTAGAAACGCACCAGCAAACTGAGAGATAGAATTTCTTTAACAATTTTATTACTTTTGGCACTCATCTCTTCTTACATGTGTATATCTGCTCCCACTATTCCTCCCATACCCGTCCGTTTCTTGACAGAATACAACACACTTGATGACGAGTTGGACGTGGTGGGTACCAACATTGCGCCACTGTAGTACGCTTGACAGTTACATGACAGCAGCCGCTTTTTGATCATCTCAAAACCTACCTAAACACACTCAACTGCACAATTGCATAGCCCCATAATGAAAATCGTGCGTGGCGCATTATAAAAGGCTTCATTAGTCATGTAAATCAAATCAAAGTGGCGAAATTGGTGCACGGCTCTGGTTGATTTGTTGGCTGGTTGGCTGGTTGGCTGGCTGCTGTGGCACTTTCACGACAAGCGACACCAAAAGGCGGCAATTTTCAAGTGCAATTTTCATAGAAAAAATTGGCGCAAGAGAAATCAACAGACAGCAGCATGCATGCATATTTATATATGCACATATGCACTTACATACCATACATACATACAATGCAGGTATACTTATGCGGTGTGATTTCGCTGGAAAATCTGCATTTGGAGGTGTTTTGTTTTTATCACTATTAACAGCCTCATTCAGTTGTTGTAAAAACACCTAAACACACATAGGCATTAGGGTGGTCGCTAAAATATCAACATATATGTTCCTTTTTTTACGAGGCACCCCCTTTAATTATAACAAAATAAAGACATCAACGAAAATTTCATAATTTTTAAGTAATTTTTAGGTGCCCCTTGCAGGGTTTGAAAAAATTTATATAAAAAAAAAACCACAAAAATTCGAAAGTAGTTTGACTTTGCCCAGCTATAACTCAGCAAATTTGGTCCCATTAAAACAAGCGGTTCGTCGCGTACTTTGTCTTTTCAACGAAACAGGGCTTAGCTAGAAAAATTAATTTGCTCCTTAGCTGCTTAAAGAAATTTAAATTTACTTAATTTTTTTATTTTCGCCACTGAAAACAAGCATATTAAATAAAATTTCATTATATTTTTACTTTGCAATACTGTTCCTTGCACAATGTCCAGCAGTCAGGTATAATTGCCACGTCAATTTGAACGGCGATGAAAAAACAATGACTTCCCACCTATGCGGAAAAGAACGGAATACAACTACAATTCTCGTTCATTTACGTAACCAAAAACGTTCAATTTTATTTGAAAGTAATAATTGTATTTTATTTGTTCATGTTAAACATTTAAAATCATCAGAGGAGCGTGCTAGTATTTGTTAGCTTTCAGAGGCGCTTGGTTCGAATGCCGTCAGGCGCTTCCTTGTTTAAGTGTTATTTATTTTTTTAACCATAAAAAAGCATCTCTGAAGTTTAGAAGTAAAGCGTATTGAAAAAAAAATATCGATAAGAAAAATATCAGAAAAACATCCAAAAACGTATCCGTTTCAAAACAATTTTAGGTTCTTGCCTGTACATACGTTTCTGCCGCACAATTTTTTTAATAATTTTTTTTTTGTTACATTTTCAGATTTTTAGCTTGGTGGGTTAATATCTGCCATTTTATTTACAAGATAAAATACACTGGGTTCATATTAATAAGCAAATTTAAAAAAATGTTGGCTAATCTTTTGGCGGTTAATGCTCGATATGTATCTACACTGAGCAAAAAATCAACCAAAAATTGGTTAATATTACCAAATTCAAACTTGAAAAGGAATCAATGTGATTTTTGGTTAATATTAACAATGGGCTTGGTTGATGTTTTCAACAATTAAATATTTGGTAATTTAACCACCCTTTTCTTTACATCAACCAAACTTTTGGTTGTCGATCTTTTTGTTTGATTACGTTTATACTCTGCACTTCACAAGTGATTTTTCATAATTCGGAGATACAAAACAAAAATTTTTATAAACATATTAACACGTTGTCTCTGACGGGATTAACAAATAACAGCAACCATCTCTACACATTCAGCTACAGCCGCTTTATAAATTTGTCTTTAAATTTTCAACTTGAATAAATTTTTTTGGCGTTTAATTTGGTTCTGCACTTCACAGATGCTTTTTCGTAATTAAGAAAAACCAAAAACAAAAAAGGAAAAAAAAGAAAAATTATGTGTTGCCGCTGACGGCATTCGTACTGCTGTAAGCCAACAAATATCAGCAAGCACCTCTGCACGTTCAGCTACTATCTTACATACGTCGATTAAGTTGCAATCATCTCGATTACGTTTAAACCGGCAGACGAATCGTTCTTGCGGGCAAACGGTTGTAAGGCTGTAAATAAACAAATTGGTTTCTTATTGGGAGCGGGAACGGAGCTAATGGTGGAAAAACGGATCGTCAAAGTATTCGAAAATGGAATCGATAAACAAAAATCCGCTCCGAAGCCCTGCAACGAAATCATACACTACACACAAAAATACCATTGCACAAATATAACAGCCCAAAGAAAAAATAAAAAAATGCGTTTTGAGCTCTCGTTGTCCTTCTATAATGCTCTATAATGAAAAAAAACTTAAATCAAATGATACACACAGAAATCAGTCAACTAAATATATTTATCACAACACTAGATTTGATAACAGCGACCCTTAAAAATAATTTTAAAACTTTGAAAATTTCTCAGTTGTCTATTTTTTGTACATACGTAGAACCCATAAAAAATTTAGATGCTGATATTTTTAAGGACCACCCTTATACATATGTATGTAAATACATATGCAGTTAATGAAATAAATGCACTCCCATGTGCGTCTACATAACTATTTAATTATATATATTTTTTTTCATTTTTAAACTACTCACCTTTGCTTTCTTTATTGCTAAAATTGAGCGCCCGCGAAAAGTGTTCATCCACAACGCTGGCCGTGTCGCCGGAATAGTTTGTAAATACGACGCAGGTGGCTGATAAGTATTGTGCTCTACCCTGTCCGTTGACATTCGAGCTATCCAACGGCAGGGGCAGTTCCTTCGCTTGTGCTCCGTGCAATGCGTGGCGAGGTGAATCAGGACTTGATGAGCAGGAGGACTCGTTGTGATGTGAACCCACTAGCCGAGCTGTGGAAAAAATGAATTAATTATTAAAAAATATTCGTTATTAACTTTTTTTTTAATTTTTGGGTGGAAAAGAAGTATAACATTGTTCATGTTTATGAATACGGTATGCATGAATAGAGGGTGATAAAAGCATAATGCAGATCTTTGACAGGGATTATTTGTGATATGATAATTTCTTGGTTTTTATTTTTTCCTGACAATTGGTAGTACAGGCTTTAGCAAACTTAGTCATGAAGCGATACTCAGTTGAACAACGCGTAAAAGTGATCCAAACGTTGATGCGGATGAAAAAAAAAACACATCATAAGCGGTGTGGTACCGTTTCACCTAAACGGATGCGTTAACAAGCTTAGCTGCACCGCAAGAAAAAAAACTGTGCACCCACAAAAGTCAATGTTTGAGGTGTTTATGTTACGGTGGACGGTGAACGCTATCGTGAAATGGTAACAAACGCAATCAGAAAAAACCGAAGCATATATTCGAAATCAGCGGAATAATTATTAATTTCATTATTTCTTTGCTTAAAAAATTTTATTTTATTTTGGCAAAAGGTTTTTTGTTCTCACAAAATTAGGTACTTGCCCCAAAATTTATCAAAAGGTTCGATTTCGCTTGATATTTTGGTATCTAATATCCTAAACAAAAGTGATCATTAACTAGATTTTTGCAAACAGCAGTTTCTTGTGGCCTTGGACCCTTCGTAATATCTCTAGTGGCACTTGGAAGGACCGGAATTTTTGATATGTAGACTAACTAGAACCCCAAAAAAGAACTCCATGCAAAAATCCAGTATTCTCCTAATTATTTCGAAGTGAAATGACGAATTTATGTATAAAAAATATCGCGCTGAAATTTCAGATGGTGGACTACAGCGCTCCCTGGACCGGGAGAAATCTCTTGTTTTCTGATCGGGAACTATATAAAGTCAGACTTGGGATCAAAAACCGTCTGTGTAAACGTGTATGTATGTGCATTAGACTGCATCACCAAAAAAAAGTTGCGGTTTTTACCTCCAAACTTGCAGTTAAAAAAAACGAGTTTCTCAAAGAACTTTTTAACAGATTAAGGTTAAAAAAATCTGCATAAAAATGTTTAAAAATGTTTTCAACGGAATCGTAATAAGGAGATTTTTGATGCTGTTTTTTAACTTTAAAGATTGGTTTATGGAAAATTTGAATAACTGGGCCAAAACTATTCCGATTTAGACTTATGAAGTCATCAGTAGAATGGTATTTTCCCACTATTTTTATTAATGCAAAAAAAAAACTTTTTCACGCCCCGATTTTTTTCTTTTTCAAATCCCTACACAAATTAATTCAACTTGGGATGACGTTCGTTCATCTTATCTTTCTCTTTCATTCTTTGAATGAGTTTATTAGAAATAAATAAAAAGGGTGAGAAAACACCTTTCCAATGATACCTCACAAGTCTAAATCAGAATAGTTAAGGTTCACGTGTGCAATTTTTTTTTATACCAATCTTTGAAAAACAGCATCAAAAATTTCATTATAACGATTCCGTAGAAATTTTTTTAAAAATTTTTTTAAATATTTGTATGCAAAATTTTTAAGCTTAAACCGTTTGGTCATTTGAGGGGTTTTAGAAAAAAAATCTTTAAGAAACTATTTTTATTCATAAAAAACTCCCTTTTTGGAATTATTTTCAGCTCACGTTAACCTTAATATTTTACCGAAATATTTTGGTGGAAGTCTTAAAATAAAATAGATTTTACAATTCCAATAGAAACACAGTACCGATTTTTTTCTTGGATGGGGAGTCATGCAATCTAATGTGCATACATGACTAATATCTACAAACATTAATATTTGCATAAACATTTAGGCAAACATTAATTTTCGCTAACAATTTTCATCATTCTATCGTGCCAGCTAATCTATGTATGTATGTATGCATGTATGTATGTATGTATGTATGTACCCTAAAAATGCCCAAACAAATACTTGCTATGCGCTTGTTGTTGTACAAACAACAGCGCACACTTAAGTGTAGCAATGCTCAAGCGGCAACTCGAGGGCCGTGTGGCCTAATGGATAAGGCGTCGGACTTCGGATCCGAAGATTGCAGGTTCGAGTCCTGTCACGGTCGAAAATTAAAATAATTTTTTTATAAATTGTTTTTTTTTTGTTGCTTTAAATTTTATAAAAAAAAAAAAAACATATAACAAACTAATAGCCAATTTCACGAATGTAAATGTTAGTGAAAAATGATTTTTATATCTTTCATGAATATGAAATGGTATTATAGCTTTGGTCCGATGTTTGTAAGTACCAGAAGAAGAAGATATAGACCCATGGAAAGGTAATGATGAGAACGTCGAGCAATCTAGTCACTCAGTTTTTCAGATATCCGACTGAAATTTGGTAAGCGGACGTATTTTTGCAACATATCAATCATTTGTCGGAATCAGAAAACTCGAGCCCCTATAACCTATAGCCTCTATACAATTTATTGTTCAGATATTGGGTTTTTTGTCGTAATTCCTCCATTTATGCAGCTTGGAACATGAAATTTCGCACTAGTTTCACTGATTATCGACAGAAAGCTTACAGTGAAAATTACAAAGATTGGGTCACTATAACCTAAAGCCTTCGTACAACTGATTGTTCAGATATTGGGTTTTATTTTAAAACTACTTAATTTGGACGGCTAAAAATTAACTAATTCGTGAGCTACTTTCCAAATAATGATACAAAAATCGTCAAAAGTGGTACTGTACTACCACTACTGGCTATATCTCCCATACCACAGATTGTTCATATAAAAGTTATTATGTGTGTTTTTTATTACATTAAACGAGCAATTCTTATATATATATATAGAGATCTCGGAAACGGCTATAACGTTTTTGATTATATTTTGTAAACAGATAATGTTTTGGATTTTAAGGTTATCTGAATAGGCATTATCATTATTATAAGGTTACCACCTATTCGAAATTAGTTACAAATTTATTAAAACATTATAATATGGGTATCAAATGAAAGGTCCCTAATCCAAAAATATGTTTAATGGGGGTGCCACCTCTTTTCAATCGCAAACTTATTTAATTTTTTGTTTAGAAAAAAAGGTTAAATATTGCTATTCATGGGTACCAAGAGAAGGTTCTTAAAGAATGGTTTCCCTATATAAAAAATATTATCCCTTAGGATATGAGTCTAAGGTTGCCACTTATTTTCAATTCTCCACAATTTATCTAAAACATCGCAATATGGATATCAAATGAAAGGTATTGTTGAGAACTTTGGTCCGAAAATATTTTCGATCAGGGTTGCCATGCTTCTATGTTCTAAAAATTTTTATTTTGTTAATTTCCACCAGCTTTTTTTTTGTATGTATGTATACCCAGTACATATATATAAATTTTAGAGTGAGAAATTTACTTCATAGATATCGAAACCCAATTTTTTTTAAATATTTTTTTAATGCTATCCAAATGACCAGTATTTGATATCCAAAGCTGGAAAACTTTAAAAAGTCTATGCACTCCGGGCAAAGCTCGGTGCACCTAGTACTTTGAATTTACTATAAAAACTGACAGACGGGAACAAAAATAATTGTTCACAATTGCTGGTGAAACCGGCATTTTCAATTCAGCCTCTCAACATGAGGTATATCAAAAAATTAGAACATATAGGAGTTTCCAAGTAGTGACTTAAGGACAATGCTTTCTAAAAAAGGAGCGGCCCTTAAACATCTGCGTCCGTTTCGACCGACCGGACGACTGATTGATTTGTTCACGAAATAAAGATGGCAATACAAATTTTTTATGTGACGTATGTATGTGCATATATATGTAAGTTAAATGCAAACCAATCCACTTTTTTAATTTTATGCGAACAGCTACAAACAAAATCCAGGAAATCTGCTAATCACCATTTAAAGCTCTTCCATAAATAATCAGTAGATACACCTAGTTTGTTCAACACCTCCAACTTTGTAAAAGCAAATAAACATTTTGACAGTTGGTTGCGCCTACAAATTTAGTGATAAACATTTATTTGTGTAATTCTTCAAATATTTCTCCACACTTCCTTACATTTCGACGGCTATGAGACTAGCATACATATAAATACAGATGTACATACACACGTACATACATAGCTAACAAAATGAAATTAATGGATACTAAAGTTAATGACATTGAAAAATCTGAAAAATTTTTGCAAATTAATTAGCAGTAGCAGCGGTTTTGTCACTTTGGCGCGCGCGCATTCAAGCGCTAAAGCTTTTCATAAACACATGTATTTAGTATGTAGATATGCATACCTATGCTTATACATTCATATGTACAAATTTGTATGTATATAGAGTAAAATGTATTAAAAATTCGTCTGTGGAATTTGAAAAATTCAGATGGACTTGAGTTGTGGCGAAATGAGAAGCTGCGCGACGCTAAACGCTCGGTAACGCCAAGCGACGCGACGCACTAAAGAGTGCGCAACCGCATTCCGATCAAGGCGCGACGCTGCTACTGGAATTCACTACCAACACCTGCCCGCGAACTAAACACATTTCAGTGAACTTGTCTTCACGTGAGTGTGTGAGTGTATGTATGTATTGTCGGGCCAGTGAGGTTAGGCTGATCGCTTTCAAACAAAAAATGATAAATATTCGCAGCAGCTAGCAAAAATATGCGTATAATTCGCAAAGAACGATTAGATGTCGCATAAAAATTCTGTCGCAAATGTCAGCGTAAAATTTAAATATTTTTTCTAAATTGGTTTTATATCGCATTCTTAATACTTAAGTACTACATAACAGTAAAAACCAAACGCGCTGTAGGTATATGTATCTACATACATACATACATATGTATGAGATCTGTCTACAAATTTTTTTTTTAGTGCAAATTCACCGCATATCAATTAAATTTACACACTTACCTTCAGCTTCACTTCGTTGCACTCCCATATCTTCTTCTTTGGTATGCGCTCTGCTGTGTTGTATCGCATTGCTGACCGCTACGCTGCTGCCGCTGCCGCCACCAATGACCACTCCTCCGCCGCCACCTCCTGTGGCACCAAGCACTGAACTTGCAACGCCCGCACTACCACCAGCACCTCCTATACTGCCGCTACCACCACCACCACCACCAGGTACACCAGCGCCGCCACCGCCGCCCAACGGCAGACTCGTCGTTGCAGCTATGCTCGCCGAGTGATTGGCCGTTTGTGCTGCGACGGCGACTACCGCCGCGGCGGTATTGTGCGCGGCCGCTACTGCTGCAGCGGCAGCATTAGCACTCACCGCCGGCGGAAGGATAGGACTGCAGGGCGAATGTGAGCTGCCAGAGGCGCTCGATGAGGCCAATTGCACGCCCGACGATGAGTACAAATCCTGATTGAACTGTGCGCGAGAAAGATAAAAAAATGGAAATTGGTTAATGAGCTATAAATAAATGTTGGTAGTGATACATAAATTCTAAGTTTTAACAGAATGAATGGTTAGTTGCAGGGGCGCACTCAGGAATATATACTTTATACTTCTGAAGAAATATCACCAGAAAATACTGAAAATTCGCTTCAGATAATACGCTCTTTAAAAAACATGCATTTTTATGCAAGTTTTATGTTCAGTATGTAATAAATAAATAAACGTCTTAAAGTTTCATAGATTGCACTTTATTTTTACTAAGTTCTATAAACACAAGATGCCCTTAACTTTCAAAAGAAAAAAATTTTATAAAAAGAGTTTTAATAAAAATAAATCAATTGATTCTATAAAATTTTTACACATTTATGTTAATTTTCCTCGATTTCTGGTTTCCGGTTTTCGAAAGAGATGGTGATTTTTCACGATTGCCTAACTTTTTTTAACATTTCGAATACCGAAAAAATTAACTGAACTGTCAAGAAAAACCAAAATTAAAATTGTGAAAATATAAAATTGTGTGAATGATGCACAGCTGCATGCAAATTATAAAAAAATGCATTTTTCAAATTGAGGGGTTGAATTTTTTTTTTTTTCGTTTTTTAAACAGTGGAATCGTGTTTCTCGTCTCAAAATCTTTAATATTAGTATGATAAAAATCCAAAAAAAAATTTTTTTTTTTTAATATATCCGTTGGATTTTGCATGTTTTTTTTTAAAGAACACTGATTTTGACCAATTTTTTTTAAGGTCAAGGAGTCATTGTGACTCAATGGCAATAGTTTTCCTTGAAAGGTAATTACATTAGCTTTCAAAGCCATTTTGTTTCATATCAAAATATTGCTTCTCTCGAAAGCGCTACGATTAATTGGCATGAAGTGTTAAAACAGCACACTGTGTACCGTCGAGTTAGCTTGAGTATCTTATTTTTCAGTCGAGAAATGTAATTTTGAAATTTTAAAATTACTACGGTGTATTCTTCTCAAAAACGTATGACTCAAAACATATGATTTATAACAATATAATTCATTTATGAACAATATATACTATAATAAAATAAAATGTCTATCATACTTGGGCGTACAAAATTTTAGAGCCATTTCCCCAAAAAAAAAAAAAATCGAGCTCACGATCCGGCCTGTTCCAGAAAGATTAGTTAGGAAACCAGAATAGTTTTAACTTCCTTCGTAAGTGCCGGTTATCTGGTTTGCTGCCACTTTTCCGGGCAAGTCGGTTTTCTCGCAATTCGGCTTAGATATGAGAAGAGATTTTTTTTACTTTTTTTCTGATTGGAGGAGTGGAGTTGAGTTCCAGGCAGCTTGTTTCAGGCAGAAAACAAATGGTAATATCTTCTTCGCATTTTTTTGGCTGCTTTTAATAAAAGATAAGAATACCTCATTTATTTATACAATGTACAGAAGTAAATATGTGCCTACATATACATATAGATATACATATCTACATGGATATATGTTCATATACATATGCATATCTGGTACACGTACATATGTATACCTACAAACAAATGCATTTGTACTAAGCGCATGATACAATGCAGAAAAGTTTCCAACCAAATTCGAACTGACACAATGTCTAATTTATGATTATGGAAACGACTAGCTGCCAAGTAGCAGCAGCAGTAGCAACGACACAAAAAGCAATAACAACAGCGTTTGCCTTGAAAATTTATGGGTGCACAGCATATGACAAACGGCTGTGGCACATTACTTCGTGTGTTTATCAAAAGCGGTGACATTATTGCTATTTATTAGCTCCGAAGCCGAGCAGGGCAAGGCAGGGTCGCGCCAAAGGCTAAGCGATAACCCACAGTAGCGGCAAATAACACCCACATGTGACGACGACTGTATGTATGTATGTATGTATGTATGTATGTTGTATGTATGTATTTCCGTGTGCGACAGAACGACCCCAATCACTAAGAGCACTTCACACCCACTAATGAAATGAATATTGGTGTCATCATTAGGGAATTGGCGCCTCCAAAATCATGCATAAATAAGTAAGGGATATACATACATACATACTTACATCAATATGCTCGTCTCTGCATGCGCTTGCCGCTGCGCCTCATTTAGTTTAATTTCATTTTGGTTTAGTTTTACTGACACTTAAAATTATAAAATCCATGTTAAACTCACGCATTGTATCGCCTTAAGTGCCTAATAATGGGTTAACCAACACGTCTCATTTACGAGTAAGTGCATAAGAACGCGAAGGCCATTGTCGGCAGTCATCCCTGTGCCACGGCTGCTTTGATTTACTATGCACTTATTGATAGGGTTCACGGCAGCACGTGTAAATATGCATTTTCTTTTGTTCATAAACAGGCGTGTGCTGCTATATCTACCTATTATCTATCTGCTTATTGGCAGCATTGAACTTTTTAATGATTGTACAAATTAACAACTTTAAAGGTAAATTGTAAGGGATATAATTTAAAATCTAAATAAATTTGTTTTCAGTTGGGATAAAATTTTCAGTGGGAATACATAGTCCAAGAGCTGACAACGGTTTTGGTTACACCATATATAACCAGGCTAGAACTTTCATGATGAGTCCGCTATGACGGCCCATTAAACAGGATTTTTAAGGATGCAAAAAAAACACATCAATTACACTATTTTAACCAGTCTGGTATTTTGG